GGGAGGGTGCAATGTTGTAGTTTGTGTGTGTGAGTGGGGGGGATGTATTGTGTCTGGATCATGGGGTGATAGCTTTGTATATATTCATATTGACTGGCACTTGGCAGCAAGGGGATATTGAAGTCTATGTACTTACTTTGAAGATTATTATCCATAGCAAAATGTTGCGAGCATTTTGTCAGTGTTGTCTGGTGAAATGGTTCCGTTCTTCAGTTTGTTTGCAAAATGGATATGTTTGAATGTGGTGCTGACTGAAGTGTCTTTAGGCCATTCCCATAGAGGGTACATTAACCATGTTCTTATGCACAGTAGAATTGTAATTGTAAATGGGCTGATCCATGAATGTCATGCTCATAACTGTGCCTGAACTTCCAACAAGGAACTGCTGCTTTTTCTTTCCTAATCCTTGCTATCGTCATTTTTCCTCTACTTCTGTATATACGTTTGTCATACTCCTGTGACCTGCTATTTCCGGGATGCCTTGATAGTCGAAGCAGCACTTTGTGCTGTTGAAGCTAGAGAGGTGAGCAGAGTAAGCCTGATTCCCTGTAAGGACTTCTCTGTTGACATCCTCCCCTCTGCACTCATTTGACCTTATGCAGTTGCGAGGGCTGTAAAACCTTACTAAAACAAAGCATTTCTATGTGGGGAATATATTTTATTGAGTTAATATATTATCTGGGTTTCTGTTAGCATGTATCTCACATGTATTCTCTCACTGTATTTTTAGTTAGTTACTATAGTATTGATTTTTTGTAGTTTGAGAGCATAGCATTATTTGTATCGTGTCTGAAGTCATTAATTTGGTTTTTGATTGGTGGCCCAATCTTTGCTGGCTGGTAGCATTAACGGTGTCAGAATGTTGAGTCAAGTCTTAAGGAGAAATGTTCCCCCCCCTACCCTTTTCTCTTAGACTTCATTCAACATATAACTTCTGCTTTCTCAGGAATCCTCTGTTTTGGGGACATTTTTATGATTATGAACAGAGTGTGGCCGAATGAAAATTGCATTAATTTATCAGGGGAATTTTCTTCTGTATAGAATTCTGTCAAATTTCTGCTGTGATTTGCTCTTTCTCTGCTCAGTTTAGAAATGTTGAAATTCCAATTGTGTATGGCATAGTCTCGTAGGCCACCGGACCTGTAATCCTGAGATGGCCAGTTCGAGGGACTGAGCCTCAGCTCGGTTCTATGTTGTGTCCTTGGAAAAGGTTCTTTACACTGAATTCTTATTTGGCTCTGTCCTTTCGGAAATGGACTTTTAACTCGGAGAGCCCACCTTTTAAATAATTCACTAGGGTTGATGGGGCGTTAAAACCTATTCCATTTCACCATTTTCACCATTTGTGTTCAAATCTGCACTGTCAAAAGTTTGTCATAATAGATTTCTTTGTTGCAACTGTATGGACAAGTGTTTGTGGTATTATGGTTAGGCTCTTCAACCAAAAGACGTGAGTTTTGTGGGCGGTTGGTGGGGTACTTTTGTGTAAACATGTATGGTACTCACTAGTACCACCTCTAATCTTCTGCTTGTATAAGACCTATTAACCTATTTATGTTGCAAGTGCCGTAAATCTTATACTTAAACTAAAACAGAAAAGAGTTCTGAGCTTGGTTCCAACATGGACAAGATAATTTTATCGAATATCTTCATCTTTCCTCCTTCACAATGTTTCCCAGGCTTGCCAACCTTCCCGAATTGCCATCGTCGTTCCCGAACCTTTCCCAAAACGCCAGCGCGATGTCTGTTCTCCCCCTCCCCCTCCCCCCAAAAAATAATTTTTAAAAATTTTTTATTTTCGTAGAAAAACCAAAACTCGAAGGCATAGAAATGCTGAAGACGAAGGGGTATGTGTAGTAACTGTACTGTAACATTTTCATCTCTCTCTCTCTCTCTCTCTGTTTCTCCACTGGTTTGTTTGAGCTGTTTTTGTGGTGTGGGTGGGTTGGGTTTTTTTTAGTAACTTTAGTAGCCTATCACAGAAGTGTGTGTCCGTGGCACCCCGGCGCAATCAAAATTTCAGAATTCAGTATCTCAAAAGTTGGCAAGCCTGGTATCTCACTCAGCCTTAGTTTGCTGTGACAGCCAGGATCTAGACAGTTTCCCCCTCTAGAAATAGGCTGAATGGTACCAAAGGGAACACAAAACATTTACCATCATTTACAACCAAGATGATGACGTTAACGGTTTGTTGCCAAGTGACCATTATTATTTTTTAAATGCGATTGTTGAAAGCTGGAGCTATCTAGCTTGGTCTCGTAATAGGTTGGTCAGATTAGAGGTGATGGCTAGTTTGTTTGGAAGAGATGTTTGTGAACAAACAGGAAAAACTAGTGAAGAGGCGATCAATTGATAGTTGTTTAAGAATTATTTGTGCATGTTAGATAGGTGAAAAGAATTGATGTACATATTTTTTTTGTCTTGAGAATTTTCGCTGTTCAGAGACGTGTTTACTGGTGTCTGTGGTGTAGAGGCCAAAGCTTTAAATGCAAGTTGTGATGGTAATGTCTTTGTTTTCGTTTTTCTTCCTCTTTGGACTATGAGTGTTGCGACAGACCTTTTTGATGAGCCGCAGTTTCTTTACTCCTCATTACACTCTTGAAAAGATTGTGCATTAAATGCATGTATTGTAACGATGCATTTATGTGAGACAAGACCACAGTTTGTTGTGAGTCTGATGGTGTCAGATTTCAAAATACATGTACATCATAATAATTTGAAATTCAAAAGAAAAAACGTCCTTTAACAGTGAGAGAAGATTAGTTGTCTTGTAATGTACTTTTTTATTCTTTGCTGTTTTTGAGCGTGTTTACATGTATTTGTAGTGGTTGGTTGGTGGGTTCTGCGGTATGGCTCACTCCTTTCCTGTCAAACAATTGTCGTCCTCATCTCCTCTTTTTTTTGTGTGTTTGTGAGTCTCTTGTAACTCCTCTTATCTTCGACACTTACATGACCGTGTTGCAAGTGATGTAAAACAAAACGCTTGAAAAGATTCTGAATTGATTGCATTGATGCAGTTAAGTGAGAAAAGACAGTATTGTGCTGTTGAGTCAATGATGCTATCTGATTTCAATGTATATCGTTTTGTTTTGTTTTTGATTCAGAAGAAGAAAAAATGTCCATAATCAGTGCGATAGATGAGTTCTCTTGTAATGTGCTTCATTATTTTTTTGTTTTGAGTGTGTGTTCTTGTCTTTGTGTAGCATAATGTTAATTTAAAAAGTCATTATGACCTTTTCATTTATGTCTTTTCTTTTGACACCCCCTCCCTCAAGTGTTCTCTGTTTTATTTTCTTTGTAATATCAGGAAATGGTTGTGCTGGCTGCAGAAATCTCTTGTGTGTAGTCACATTTCATCTGGCTTTTTTACAGTAGCCAAGCTGTAACGCTCTGTACTCTACCCTTTGAACTCTGCCCCCTGAATCTTGCTGCCCGTCTGAACTCGGGGCCCTCTTTACCCTGCACCCTCTCTACCCAGTGCTCTCTGAACCTTGCTCCCTCTGACGGCAGGACTTGTATGCCTGAGCTGTACGAGATGCCACGCAACAAAATACATTGCCACAGGCAGAGATGTGGGTTCGTTTCCCAGAAGGGTAAAGTAAAGGTGGTCACACTCGGGGCGTACACCAGCGTTTTTTAGATCTTTTAAAAACACACACTGAACAAATGACTGCTGGGTACGTGTGTACGACTCACATGCGGGAGAGAATTTTTATTGAGTATCTTGGTCTTTCTGCTGGGACGGTGTGCCCCTCTCAGCGCGGGTTAGCCTTGACAGACAAGGTGACAGCCAGGTTCCTTAATTATCTGAATTGTATCTAGGGGAGTGTAAAACATTTACATTTTAAAAATCAACTGTTCGGCTCTACTCTGTCTTTTTTTCTTTTCTTTTCCACCCTTTTCTTTTGTAAGGGACCAGAATTGGCTCAATTTTATGTTGTGCTGAGCTTTGGCGTGGATGGCAATGGTTCAAATCCCCAATGGGAACATTCTTGAACTTGAATTGTCTTGGGAGTGTTAAATGGTTTTTGCCTTATTCCGTGCCAACCCATGAGGTATCGTTGATATAGATTACTGCCACTGTGCCAATCCATTATGCATTGTTGAAATGCCTATCATAATTTTCTTCATGTCACACTGCCCGTGCATACATTTATTTTTATCGCCATTTCTTTAAGTTTTATTCATTTTTTCATAATCATTGTTCATTTTTCTTCGTTTTGGTTTATTTATACATTATATAGGACCACATTTACTTCTTTGGTTGGAGAATTGATATCGTCACAGGTGGTACAATGCCATAGCTGCTCTTCCCTCATCTCCAGAATCCATGAAAGGGTTGGCTTGCTGATCGTGCCAATTATCAGCTGGTCAGATATTCTTCTGTCTTAGCAAATAATGGCAACATTTGATAAAATTTATGATGTGTCTAGGGAGACCAGGATCCTAGTCTCCCTATACAGCTACGCTAGGGAGATCAGGGAAATTATTTGCGATGTGCATGCGCGATTCACCGGTTCACACAGATTCCTGCATCTGTTTTTTTCTTCTTCTTCTTCAAGGTGCCGGCCGCTTCATTGATATTTAAAGTTTAATCTACAATTCACAGTCGCAAGTTCTGATGGCCGAACGGACAGTGTGTCTGCGTCAGAAGTCATCATCATCATCATCATCATCATTGCCTTTCTCATCCTGGATCAGGATATAGGCGACGAACGAACTCCTGCCACCTTTCCCTACCCTTGGCTAGTCGCTTGATGTCACTCCTCCATGTCTTCCCACTTTTCTGTACATCACCACT